TAAGTATGGATATGATAAGTATGGATATGATAAGTATGGATATGATACGAAATGGATATGATACGAAATGGATATGATACGAAATGGATATGATACGAAATGGATATGATACGAAATGGATATAATAAGTATGGATGTGATCGAAATGGATATGATACGAAATGGATATGATACGAAATGGATATGATACGAAATGGATATGATACGAAATGGATATGATACGAAATGGATGTGTTAAGTATGGATAAGAAACCTCTCTGCCAGGAAACTGACAGACACGGAAAAAGCCATTCTCGCCCGAGGACTGAACTACAACACCCGCCACTTCCTCTGGAAGCTCATTCCACACACGAACCACTCTCTATGTTAGAAAATTGCCTCTCATGTCTTTTTTTTAATATCTTTCTCACCTTAAAAATACGCCCCTTAGTCTTGAAATCCCCCACCCTAAGGAAAAGACACAGGCCACTCAACTCATCCGTAGCCCTCAATTTTATAAACCTCAATAAGGTCACCCCTCAATCTCCTACACTCTAGTGAAAAATGTCCCAGCCTTTCCAGTCTCTCCTTATAACTCAAACCCTCCATTCCTGGCAACATCCTGGTAAATATCTTCTGAACCCTCTCCACCTGAATAATATCCTTCCCATAATAGGGAGACCAGAATTGCACACAGTATTCCAGAAGAGGACTCACCAACGTCCTGTACAGCCTTAACATATCGTACCAACTCCTGTACTTAAAGGTCTAAGCAATGAAGGCAAGCATGCTACATGCCTTGTTAAACAAGAGATGTCAAACAGAGGCCACATCTGTGTTCTCTGCTGAACATAAGAGTGATCCTGTGACTATATTTCGAAGAAGAGCATGGTTACGATAATGGTATCCCCCGCAGCTTGGCCGCTGTTTATCACATTGACACTTGAAAGAACAGAATTTGAGCAGTACTGTAGAAAGAGACATCTGATTGGAGTTTTACATCATGTACCCTTAAGGACGGAACACAAGAAAACCATGGAGAGTATATCCCCCAGCTGTTCGCAATAGACAGTGTACTAGCCAAGCTCAAACGGCCTCAGACTGCGAAACATAATGTCTAATGCTAGGGACAGCAAGAACTGCAGATGCTGGAGACAGAGATAACACAGTGTGGAGCTGGATGAACACAGCAGGCCAGGCAGCATCAGAGGAGCAGGAAAGCTGACCTTTCAGGTCGGGACCCTAATGCTAGATTTTATTCTGTGAATGGTGAGCACTTGCTCAATAATCTTATGTGCTTAGAATTACACTTGACAACTAACTTAAGATTATCAGTCATGCTCGCACTGTGGCTCACTCAACATATTCTAGAAGTTACATATAGTCACATGAGGGAGCCTGTTCTCTGCCAATAAATGCGTCCAGGTGTTGCACCTTTGTTGAATTCAACCAATGTTTTGGGAGGGAGGGCAGGCAGTTTGATTGCAGTAGATCAGGCATGAACCAGTAAAGGAACTTGGGAGAAAAAGCCAGTGTAGAATGAGATAACAAGGTGTAGAGCTGGATGAACACAGCAGGCCAAGCAGCATCAGAGGAGCAGGAAAGCTGACGTTTCGGGTCTGGACCCTTCTTCAGAAATGGGGGAGGGGAAGGGGGCTCTGAAATAAATAGAGAGAGGGGGGTGTGGTTAAAGAAGGTGGATATTGGAGCAGATAGGTGGGAGAGAAGACCGACAGATCAAGGATGCTCCACTATTCACCTTCTATCACCGCCTCCCCCTCTCTATTTATTTCAGAGCCCCCTTCCCCTCCCCCATTTCTGAAGAAGGGTCCAGACCCAAAACGTCAGCTTTCCTGCTCCTCTGATGCTGCCTGGCCTGTTGTGTTTCTGTAGCTCCATACTGTGTTATTTCTGACTCCAGCATCGGCAGTTCCTATCTCTCAGTGTAGAATGATGGGCTTTTCACTCCAAGTTCATGCTGCTCCTCATGTGGCATCAGAGGTTGCACTTTGTGTTAAACACAGAAAGTGTTGGTGAAACTCAACAGGTCTGGCAGTATCTGTACAGATGGAAACAGAGTTAACGTTTTCTTTTATGATTGCTATATTCTGAAGAACAGTCATATTGGACTCGAAATGTTAACTCTGTCTCTCTCTGCATAGATGCATTCTCTGGGCTTGTTTCAGATTCCCAGCATTCATGGTATTTTGCATTTGTTGTAGTGTGTCTCAAGTTGGACCTCAGCCTGTTGGTGCGTTCGGGCTAGGGAGAACTTTTCTTGTGGTAGTTTATCGAGCACACGTTTCCCAACTTACCCTTTTACTCTCACACTGTCATTCCATCAATTAACCCCAGTCAACAGCTTAACCCTTGCTGTCCTGACAGTGTGATCCTCTGCTGATCTGCAGGGAGTGGGAGAAGCCTTTTCAGTAGCAGAATGAGCATGTCCTGTTATGTACCACTTACTGCCATCAGATCCAAGTGACCTTTAACCACAGGAGAGGCTTCAGGGGCTAACCAGAGAGGGATGATTTTGTAACGGGTAGAGGCCAGAAGATGTAGCTTCGACTGAACGCGGGGAATTACAAAGCAGAATGTCATTCAGCTGAGCCAGGAATCAGTATGAGGAGGGGGTGGAGTGGGGTCAGTATGACGGGTGGTCAGGGGGTATGTAATAGGAAAAAGTAGGGATGTGTGAGAGAAATGGTCGGGGGAGGGTGTGTAAGGAACTGATGACTGTTGTGTGTTTGAGGTGAGGGAGGGGACATCGCTGAACCTTCTGTCACTGGGGATTGTGGTAAGATTAGTTGAAAACTACGTGAGCATATAAAATATCAACACTTTTCACAAATTATTTGAGGAAAGTCCATTTTATATTAATTGATGTATCGTTACATGTTGATCCATAACATGCAGATCCCTTTTATATATGTTAAGATATTTTTCAGCAATACTCATGTTCTGTACTATCAAACGACTAATTCTGGATAAATGGAGTGCTACTGAGCTGATTTATTTATTCCGAAGAAGACTCACACCAGGCTTGAAACGTTAACTCTAACACTCTTTCCACTGATGCTGTCAGACCTGCAGAGTTTCTCCAATAATTCCTGTGTTTCATTCAGATTTATAGGTGTCCTGTTTTACTTGATGTTGGGGGACATGTTCATTGTCAAATGTTAAAATGGGACCAGGTCAGGAAATGGTTTGCAAAGCGCTGGTGTAACCCTTTGAGAAAGGGCTGCATCGATCAAATGAATGTTGTTTGAAAGTATAGTCAGGGTCCTGGAACTAAGTGGAATCTTTTGTCCCTGAACCCAGGTATTAACATGGACAGCGCAGTATAAGGCAGCTGCTTCGGCTGATGTTACTGCCATGAAAAAGCTCTCAGAATGGTTGCTCAACAATTTACCGAATAATGAACAGGAGGCGGTGATAGTCCATGGTGACCTCCGGATTGAGAACTTCATATTTCACCCCACTGAGGTGACTCATTTCTCTCTTTTATTCATTCATGGGGTGTGGGGTGTGGGGTGTCACTGGAGCAAAGCAGCCATTTATTCCCCATCACCTGAACTGAATGGTTTGATAGACTTTTCAGAGCACATTTTAGAGTCATTGAGTCATACCCACGGAGTCATACAGCATGAAAACAGACCCTTCGGTCCCATCCCAGTCCACATCGACCACGTTCCCGAACTAAACTAGTCCCAGCTGCCTGCGTTTGGCCCTTATCCATCCTATTCATGAACTTATCCAAATGTCTTTTAAATGTTGTAACTGTACCCACATCCACCACTTCCTCTGGCTGTCTATTCCATACACAAACCACTCTCTGTGTAAAAAAAAAAAAGTTGTGCCCAGTGTCTTTTTAAAATCTCTCTCCTCTCACCTTTAAATTTGCCCCCTGGTTTTGAACTCCCCCACACTTGGAAAAAGACCCTTGTCATTCACCTTATCTATGCGTCTCATGATTTTACAAACCTGCTCTAGACTGGAGTCACATATAGGCTAGATCAAGTAACCACAGCAGATTTCCTTTGCTAAAAGTCCTTAGTGAACCACATAGGTTTTAGTAACAATCCATAATAATATCATGGCCACCATCAACCAAGACTAACCTTTGATTTCAAATTTTACAAACTGAGTTTAAATTCAATACAGTTGCTGTGGTGGGATTTGAACCTACCTCAAAAGCATTAGTGTTTGGGTTTTGAAGTGGAGGAAAATAGATTTGGGATTTCAGTTATGTGAAGGTGACCTTTTTTAACACAGGTCAGAAGGTCATCTTGACCAGTGAATTAAAGACAGCTTTTCCAAATAAGCTAAATGAATCAACCAGCTACCTGGAAGTTAATTGCTGAAGTTTTTTTTTAATCTGTTCGGAGTTGTTATGAGGGTCCTTTTGTGGCATAGAGGTAAAGTCCCTACCTCTGGACTGGGAGGTATTCAAGTCCTTCCTGCTCCAGAGGTGTATAATAACATGTCTGAACAGGTTGATTAGAAAAAAATAGAAGGTCTGGAGAAATAAAATGATCAGGGTTGTTCTGATTCATCTCCGGAGCAGGTAGGAATTGAACCCGGTCCTCCTCGCTCAGAGGTAGTTAATTGCTGAATAAACAATAATTTACTCGGAAACAGATGAATTGAGGGCTTGTAGACGGTTGTGTTCAGATGAGGAGAGGGCAGTTTTGGAGTTTGTAGAGGTCACCAGACTGTCAGAATTGGAAACAGTTTTAAACTGCTTTAGCAGTCCAAGGACAAAAGCTAAAATGAGTAATTTGAGGAAGAAATTAGCAAGTTCATTGGGTCTGTAAAGGATTTTGGAAGGAAAAGGGTTGAGTGTTTCTTTTTGCTGTTTATGTTACGATATTTATACGTTTTTGTGTGTGAGTGTGTATGTGTGTGTGTAGATATGGCTTTTTTTTTTGTGGAATGGACTTGTGTTGTTTTGTGCCAAGTACATTAGCAGCCTCAAGCGAGCATGTTCAATGACTGTTCGCCAAAGTAATCAAACTGCAAAGATAAAACTTATGGTCTATCAAGCCAGGTTTAACTCTGAGACCTGTCTTAATCAGAATTACCATCAACTGGGATCTGAACACTAGTCTAGTGACATTCCCAATGCACCATCTCCTCCTACTTTATCAGGTTTGCATGTTTTGGAGTACCTCATAGTCCGACAGTACTCCCAGAGCATAGCTGTCAGTTAATGGTGATTTGTTGGAGCTACACCTGGAGGGTTGTGTGTAGATTTGTCTCCTTACTTAAGGAAGGACATATTTCCCCTGGAGTGAGCCCAAGAAAGGTTCAGCAAACTGATTTGTTGGGATGATGAGATTGACTGATGAAGTGCAATTCAGTAGACCAGTCATGTATTGGCTGCAATTTAGAATAATGAGGGATGATCTAATTGATAAATATACATTGCTGGAGGGGTTTGACAGGGTAGCCTCTGAAAAATGGTTGGGGAACACGGCTCCCCATTTCAGAAAAAGAAGATGATCATTTAGGACTGGCAGAAGGAGAACTTTCTTCACGCAAAGGGTTGTGGATCCTTGTAATTTTCTGGCCCAGAGGATAAGGGGTGCTCAGTCTTTGATTATGTTCAAGGCAGGGGTTGATAGATTTTTTTTTTTGGTACAAAGAGATGTGGGGGTAATGTTAGAATGCAGGGGTGAGGTAGAAGATCATTCATGGTCTTATTGAATAGCGAAGCAGGCCTGGTGGGCTGAATGGCCTTCTCCCATTCCTGTTCCTTATGTTCTTTACAGATTGTCTTCCACATTCCCAAAGGCAGAGAGAGAGATCAGTTTGTTCCTTGTGATTTTGACAATTGCCTTTGTAACACACACAAAAAGGAATGGGGTAGGGCATTCAGATCATTGAGCCTGTCCCACTATTCAATACAACCATGGCTGATCAAACACTTCAAAGCCTTTTGCCCACCCCATCCCCATAACCCTGGATGCCATTGGCAATCAGAAACCCATCAATCTCTGCCTTAATGATACTTAAAGACTAAGCCTCTACAGCAGTCTGGAGTCAAGAATTCCAGAGATGCATAACCCTCAGAGTCAAGTCATGTCGCCGTAGTTTTACCAGACCATAGAGCTGCTCTCTCGCACACAAAAACGTATAAGCATCTTAACATAAACAACATAAAGAAACATTCAACCCTTTTCCCTGCAAAACCCTTTACAGACCCAGTTGATGCTAATACTCATCAGCGAGAGAGATGACTGGTGGTCGTTTAAGCTGAGGGCCACTGTACCTCAGGTGAGGGGAGAAGTTGAGAAGGAGAGTCCTTCATGTAACCTCAGCTGGTGATGGGAATTGAACCCATGCTGTTGGCATCACACCTCTTCGCAAACCAACCATCCAGCCAACTGAGCTAAACAGACCCCAAAACCCTCAGAGTAAAACCCATTCTCCTCATCTTGTATCAAAGTGGTATATAATATGATTCAAATACACACACCATGTATGTGTTTATAGATTCATAGAGTCACACAGCATGGAAACAAAACCTTTGGTCCAACTTGCCCATGCCGACCAAGTCTCTCAAACTGTATGAGTCAAACCTGCCTGCTTTTGGCCCATATCTCTCTAAATCTTTCCTATTCACGTACCTGTCCAAATGTCTTTTATATGCTGTCACTGTCCTCTCATCTGCCACTTCTTCTGGCAGTTCATTCCATATGAAAACCACTCTCTGTGAAAAAGTTGCCTTGTTGTCCCTCTCACTCACTAGGAGTGATGTGTTTAAGCCCCAGGCTCGAGTCGTTGCTCTGTTAGACTGGGAGCTCTCCACCATTGGCAATCCTATTGCTGACCTGGCCTATGCCTGTATGCCTTTCTACTGGCCCAGTGGAATTCCCTTCCCAGGACATAGCAGTGACATTGTCTTTCAGGATGTGGAGGGTAAGTTACTAAAGGTGCAATATGCATTATATTCCAATATTGTCCAACCTAATCAGCTCTGAGCATAGGCCATTTCTTTTTGTGTTGGACCCAGGGGGCAGCCCCACCATCTGCCAGTGTTGAACTCATTGTAAAATGCATTTCAGCACGATATGGGATTGGTTGGAAATGGAGAGCAGAAATGCAGGCAAATGCTCCCCACTCCCTGAATCACCAGCATTGAGGCCAATTATTGCACTTCAACCAATGGAGTCTCTTGGTGTCCCCCCAGGTATTGGTGGGGAGTGGGGAGGGGCTGGGAACATTGGCAGCCAGCACATCAGGATGGTTTTGCGACACACTCTCAAGGGCAGGAATGCGCCACAGAGGCCAGGAGCACCTTTACATCATTAAAGCCCCAAGTGGGGCCAATTGGGATAGTTCACTGACACTGTGACAGTGTTGCAAATAAAGTGGATACAAGACTTTTACTCTCCTTGATAATGCATGGGCACCTCCTCCACATTGTAATGCATTTACATTTCTGAACGATGTTGACGGGATTTTCCTGGGTCAGACCCAGGGAGAGGAAGGGAGAAACACTCGGAGTAACATAATGGCTTGGATACAAAAGGAGGGAAATCCTACTTTTAATCTTTATAAAATCCGGATTAGAGCATAACTGGAGTTTTGTGCTCTGTTCTGTCCATCACACTTCGTATCACATTCCTGGAGATGGTGCAGAGGAGATTCACCAGAATGGTTCTACAGATGAGGGATTTTAGCTACAAGACCAGTTCGGAGAAGGTTAGGTTGTTCTCCTCTACAAATGAGGAAGTACCCATTTAAAATAGGGAGGGGTATATTTCTCTCGGACGGTTGTGAGTCTTGGGAATTCCCTTCCTTAAAAGACAGGGAATGCAGAATCTATAAATATTTTTAAGGCCAAGATTCTTGATTACCAAGGGGTAGGAAGATTATGGGGGGATACGCAGGAATGTAGAGTTGAGGTTATAATCAGATCACCATGTTATTATTGAATGGGAGAGCAGGCTCAAGGGGCCGAGTGGCCTACACTTGCTCTTTGCTCCTGTGTCGTACCAAACAATTACAGTCACGAGTCCAGTCTATTGTCCGGCATTTCAGTGGGGATCCGAAGTGAACTGTTTGCTTCAGGTTTTCCTGCTTTCTTTTACTTTCCAGGAATCCCATCCTGTGGAGAGCTCACCTCTACATACGGCCGCTGCCGAGGTCTGTCTGTTCCTCTGTCCAATTGGAACTTCTTTCTGGCTCTGTCCTTTTTCAAAGTTGCTTCCGTTCTGCAGGTAAAGGTTTTGTTCTGTGCTAAAGGCTGGAGTCACTCCTTTAGGATGTGGAAAGGATTGGGGAATATTGGCTGCCTGGAAGCAATGCTTTTCATTTACTAAAGCAGGGCCCCTGCTGCTAATAGGCTTGGACGGTTTAACATGCTGCAGGATCCTGATAGCCCACTGTTGGTGCTTACCTGTGGATTTCCGCTGTACTCTTACACACTGACCACGGGGGGGGGGGAGTTTCAGTGTCCAAACGAGGCAATTTCACCATGACTTGGATGACAATCTGGTAAATAATGGCCCCTTTTATGAATGAATCAGGATATGCTCCTGAGATAATAGAGAGCTACTTCAGTTCAGTGAGGTGTTTTTTTAAAGGGCTGGTTTTCTGCAGAAGGGGAGAGGGAGCAAACTGGAGTTTGCATTGGATTGTGAAATGCAAATAAACAATTGTGTAAGACAGACTGAGTTCTGCTTCAGTAAATAGATGACTAGCAAATGACACTGGGTCACCTTGCCCTGTGCTCCCTCTCTGGTTAGGAGACTATATTGATGCTAGTTGGTTGTCATCAGAACTAGCCTGAGTTGGACAATTGTGCAATATAATCCAGGGTGTACCTCTCTTTAGAGCCTCCCCTGTCCTGCACAGTTAAGATTCACTCCATCTAGCCCCAAAGTGACAGGTAAGGGGAGAGTTCATCTACACCAGAGAGGGAGGTCACGGCCCAGCGGTATTATCGCTGGACTGCTAATCCAGAAATTCAGCTCATGTGCTACAGGCCATAGTTTGAAGACCAGAATAGCAGATGGTGAAATTTGAATTCAATACAATCTGGAAGATGATGCCATTGCCAGAAAAAAACCCATCTGGTTCAATAATGTCCCTTAGGGAAGGAGACTGCCATCCTTACCTGGTCTGGCCAAGTATGATTCCAGACCTACAGCAATGTGATTGACTCTTAACTGCCTTCTGGGCAATTAGGGATGTGCAATAAATGCTGCCTAACCAGTGACATCCACATCCCATGGATGAATTAAAAACACATCAAGTTGGAGTCTAATGTGTTAATACAAAGCCTACTCCAGCCCAGTACCATCTGAGGTGACAATCAATGATTCCAATTGATTCTATTTCAATATGGCAAGAATGGTTGCAAGGATGAGGAACTTCAGTAATGAAGGTAGATTGGAGAAGTTTATCAATCTTTATCAAAATTTATCAATCTCTTCCTTGAATATATTCAGTGACCCAGTCCCCATAGTCTTCTGATGTAGAGAATTCCACTCTCTGAGTGAAGAAATCTTTCCTCCTCTCAATCCAAAATGGTTTGCCCCATATCCTGTGACCACCAGTTCTAGACTCCCCAATCAGTAGAAACATCCTCTCTGTATCTGCTGTGTCTAGCCGGGTTACATTTAATTTTCAATCAGATCCCCACCCCGTCATTCTTCTAAACTTCAGTGAATATGGGCCCAATTGAAGCAACCTCTCCTCACAGGACAGTCCTGGCAATCTTGGTATCAGCCTAGTGAACCTCTGCTGCATTCACTCTGTGGTAAATATATCCTCTCTTAAGTAGGGAGACAAAAACTGTGGACAATATTCCAGATGTTGTTTCATCAAAGCCCTATGTAACTATAGTAACACATCCCTACTTCTGAACTCAAACCTCTTCATATGTATGTAGGAACAGGTAAGGACAGCAGATTTCCTTCCTTAAAGAGCATCAGTGAACCAGATGGGTTTTTACAACAATGATGATAGCTTTGGGGTCTCTATGACTGAGACTAGCTTCACATTCCAGCTTGACTATTTAATTGAATTCAGATTTCACCAGCTGCTGTGTGCAACTCAGTCCTATGTTCCTGTCTAACCTTCCGGGTGAATTGAGGTTATGGTCAGGAAAAAGAAGGAAGCATATGTCAGGTATAGACAGCAGGGATCAAGTGAATCCCTAGAAGAGTATAAAGGCAGTAGAGTATACCTAAGAGGGAAATCAGGAGGGCAAAAAGGGAACATGAGATAGCTTTGGCAAATAGGGTTAAGGAGAATCCAAAGGGATTCTACAAATACATTAAGGACAAAAGAGTAACTAGGGAGAGAATAGGGCCCTTAAAGATCAGCAAGGCCACCTAAGTGTGGAACCACAGGAGATGGGGGAGATACTAAATGAGTGTTTTGCATCAGTGTTTACTGTGGAGAAGGATATGGAAGGTAGAGAACATTGAGAAATAAATAAGAACATCTTGAAAAATGTCCAAATTGCAGAGGAGGATGTGCTAAACGTCTTAAAATGCATAAAGTTGGAACAATCCCCAGGACCTGATCAGGTGTTCCCTAGAACTCTGTGGAAAGTGAGGGAAGAGATTGCTGGGCCCCTTGCTGAGATATTTGTATCGTTGATAGCCACAGGTGAGGTGCCAGAAGACTGGAGGTTGGCTAATGTGGTACGACTATTTAAGAAAAGTGGTAAGGAAAAGCCAGGGAACTATAGATCGGTGAACCCAACCGGTGGTGGGCAAGTTGTTGGAGGGAATCCTGAGGGACAGGATTTGACGTGTGTATGGGAAATTGTGTCTCACTAACTTGATTGAGTTTTTGAAGAAGTAACAAAGAGGATTGAAGAGGGCAGAGCAGTGGATGTGATCTATATGGACTTCAGTAAGGCATTCAACAAGGTTCCTCATGGTAGACTGGTTAGCAAGGTTAGATCACATGGAATACTGGGAGAACTAGCCATTTGGATACAGAACTGGCTCAAAGGTAGGAGACAGAAGGTGGTGATGGAGGTTTGCTTTTCAGACTGGAGGCTTGTGACCAGCGATATGCCACAAGGATCGGTGCTGGGTCCACTGCTTTTTGTCATTCATATAAATGATTTGGCTGTGAACATAGGAGGTATTGTTAGTAAGTTTGCAGGTGACACTAAAATTGGAGGTGTAGGGACAGTGAAAAAGGTTACCTCAGAGTAAAACAGGATCTTGATCAGATGGGCCAATGGGCTGAGGAGTGGCAGATGGAGTTTAATTTAGATAAATGTGAGGTGCTGCATTTTGGAAAGGCACATCAGGGCAAGACTTATGCACTTAATGGTAAGGTCCTGGGGAGTGTTGCTGAACAAAGAAACCTTGGAGTGCAGGTTCATAGTTCCTTGAAAGTGGAGTCACAGGTAGACAGGATGGTGAAGGTGGTGTTTGGTACGCTTGCTTTTATTGCTCAGTGCATTGAGTATAGGAGTTGGGAGGTCATGTCACCACTGTACAGGACATTGGTTTGGCCACTTTTGGGGTATTGCATACAATTCTTGTCTCCTTGTAGGAAGGATTTTCTGAAACTTGAAAGAGTTCAGAAAAGATTTATGAGAATGTTGCTAGGGTTGGAGGGTTTGATCTATAGGGAGAGGTTGAATAGGCTAGGGCTATTTTCCCTGGAGCATCAGACGCTGAGGGGTGACCTTATAGCGATTTATAAAATCATAAAGGGCATGGATAGGGTAAATAGACAAGGTCTTTTACCTAGGGTAGGGGAGTCCAAAATCAGAGGGCATAGGTTTAAGGTGAGAGGGGAAAGATTTACAAGGGACCTAAGGGTGGTGTGTGTATGGTATGAGCTGCCAGAGGAAATGGTGGAGGCTGGTACAATTACAACATTTAAAAGGCATCTGGATGGGTATATGGATAGGAAGGGTTTAGAGGGAAATACGCCAAATCCTGGCAAATGGCACTCGATTTATCCAGGATATCTGGTCAGCACAGATAAATTGGACCGAAGGGTCCGTTTCTGTGCTGTACATCTCTATGATTATCCCAGGGACATTACCTCTACATCACCATGCTCAATGCAATTTATAAAAGCATATTTTTCTAAAATCTGCAGGAATACAAATCCTGCAAACTGTCGCTGTAACAACGGTGTCTTTATTTCTGCAGGACGTGTACGCTCGATCATTGCTAGGAAACGCCAGCGCTGAGAATGCGCACATTTATGGTGAGAGTGTCAAACCTCTGGCTGAAACTGGGCCGCAAGCCTGCCATTGGTAATAGCACTGTTAGAGGACGGGCACACATCGCTCTGTACAGCCTTAGCAATGTCAAGCTGTACACACAGTGTTAACTCCAGCTTGCTTTTCATTTTTTCCTTTCTTGTGGGGTTAACATTTCACTGTCAGGTTTCGCTGTTGACTCGCTTCTGGAAGCATGAGTTCACCTTTTATTTCCTCTCAGACCCAACAAGACTTTGGTTCCTCAGTTTGACGCTTATTCATGTGTGCATGCGAGATGTACACATCAAAAAAAATGGTTTAAAGCTGAATCTGAAGAAAGGTTTTATACCATTTTTATAGAAAACAAACTTCCAATTGACTATTCCTGCAGAGAATCATTTCCAAGCAAAAGGTTACACATTTACTCACCCCTACCTGTACCTGACTGTGTTTGCATAGTTGACATTCCAATTTAGTACTCGTGACTGTGTTATTCAATCACATTGCTCCATGTTCACATCCCGAACGGTTAGTATGTACTTTGTAGTTTCCAGTAAAACCTACACTGTCTTTCCTTCTCGGTCCTTCCTATTGTTTGTACTGACTGTCTAATTTCTGTCGTCCCTGTCTGTTTTGGATTTGCACTGAGGTCTGGTCTGCAATGACTGATCACAGCCAGCTTGGGCTGATTCACGTCAAATCTTATATTTGATTTGCATTCCCTTGGTCCTGTTGGAGCTCTTACTAATTCCCGAGGGCAGGCTGTGCATGTTGCAACTTCGGCATGTTTGCAATAAATTGGCAGAACGTGGAAGGTGTGTTTTGAAAATCAGAAACGTAAAGTGAAATTGAGAGGTTTTTAACTCACGGCAGCGAGTCCTGCTCAGTATGAGTTGCAGGCCATCCGAATCAGTGTGACAGTATGGATGCCACATCCCTGACTCTCACTTGCCGTGTACGTGACTCCCTCCTACAAGTGTGGGGATCTGCTGGATGCAAGTCTAAATTTTTCCAATCGTTCCCCAACACAATGAAGGGAGCAGCTGGGAGACCCAACCCCCAACCCTGCCATAGATTCCATTGTCTTTGTTTTTGCCTTTTTCACCGATGCTGTCTTTTTCACCTTCGCTGTCTCTCTTCCAATTAGATAATATAAACTCGGCTGTCCCTCGATGATGTTAAGTGTCATTCTGATAACGCTGGCAATTGGTTACGCTTCACCTTCACAGTGGGTGGTTTCTCTTCCAGGTGAGACTGATCTTGTCTTTACTCCAGAGTCCACGCACACCAGTTGTTTGTCAGTTGGAGATGATGGATAGGGATCATGAACTGAAGGCTGGGTGCCTACTATCGTGACCTTGCCATTGTGCCCTGACCAAATGTCAAGTGAAGCAGCGCCAATTAGAGGCAGAGTCTTGCTGGTGGGGGGGAGTGAGGGTCACATCAGATAGCGGGAGAGTTGGGGAGAACTGCTCAGACACTTTTAAGAGGAGGTCCATCAGCTGTCGTTGGCAAACCCCCAGGTCACCAGTGAGCCTTCCCTTGCGATTAAGAGCGCAGGTCACTCGCAGTTAGACCTGCCAGCCACCCAGAGGCTAGCCGTTCTCGCACTCGACAGCGCCATGGCACAGATATGGCTGCCGCTGGAAGTGCCATCAGATTTCAGGAGGCCCGTGGTGCCACATGAGTGATTTGTGGGGATGGAAGAGGTGGTAAGGAGGTACAGCTCATGGCTCTCAGTGCACACACATCACCCTGTTTCCAGCCCTTTGAACAGGCAGAGGTTTTACTTGATTGAGGGGAAGTTAGACCATTCCTTGCAGTGTTGCGAATTACCAAGACCTTCCAATTTCCAAACTCTCCACCAGTGAGAAATTAAGATTCCCCTCTAGGAACTAAGGGGTTGGACTATCCCAAAGTCTGCCTTGATGGTATGCTGGGTAATGGATAAATACACTGGATCAGCTGGGGAGTGGTTTAGGGAGCTGGAAAACAATAAAGGGTAGATTTTAGGAAATTTATTTTTGAAGCAAAGCTTCACCAAGGATCTCATCTCTTGTGATTTGAGTGAGGTCACTGTCATGTTAATGATAATGGTCTCCTAATTTCTCATCTGATTGACTAACTCATTTAAAACAGTGAAACACATTGTAAGTCATGAAGCAGACGTTACAGTAAACCAGCTGATTTCTGTTTGAGTGCAACTGGCAAACACAAAGCAGACTAACTGGTAGGCACAGGATTGTACACATAAAGCATGTTGAGCCCTTTAAAGGCAATGTACCTGTGCAGCTGTCAGCTGATCTCGCAAGATATTCCTTTCATTAGATTATTTGGAAGCAAATTTTCGATAGAATTAATGAGATTCCGTAAATGAATCTAGAATAAAGAGGACTATAGGATACAAAGGCAAAGGAGTGAAGATAAAGCTTAATACAGTGGAGTTTTGAATGCGTTTCTGGGCACCAGACTTTTGGAAAGATATGAGGCCATTAAAAATGAGGCAGAAGATCTCGATGAGAATTGTTGCAGAAATGAGGAGCTTCAGTTACTGTGGGTTAACTGGAAAATCAGGGGCTGTTCTGCTTGGAGAGGAGAAGGTGAATGGGTGATTTAATCAAGGTGCTCAAAATCATGAGGGGTCTGGACAGAGGAGGTAGTGAGAAACACTTTCAGAAACACTGGCAGAAGGATTGAGAACGAGAAGGCATTGATCGGCAAAACGAAGCAATGGAGACATGAGGAGAGACCTTTTTTTCAAAAAAAAAACAGCGAGCGGTTCGGAACGCACTGCCTAAATGTGTGGAGGCTTTTAAATCATGGCTTTTAAAAGAAAATGAACACATTACCTGAAGGTGAAAACATTTCCAGGGCCACCGGGAAACAGGTGAGGGAGTGGGACTTGGTGAGCTGCACTTGTAGAGAGTTAGGACGGACACGATGGGTGAATGGCCTTACTCAGTTTTGTACCCATTCTGCGATTCAATTCCGCAGATTAGGGAGACCCACATTTTGAATCCTGAAATGATCATCAGCAAATTTTTTTTTTTTATTGTCGTGTACGTTATTTTTCCTTCAATGATTACTGTAACTCTGTTAAGAATTATAGTGGTTTATTTTATTCGTATTTCATCACAGTCTGGTCTCTGTCACCATGATGATTTGTCAATAAACCAAACCTTTAATCTATCCATTATTTATAAATTTTGATACATGGATTTTATTGACTCATAGAGTAACACAGCACAGAAAGAGGCTCTTTGGCCTAACTCGTTTGAAGGCTGATTGGTAAAGATATTCACTTATAATGTAATCCTAAAGGTTTCTCGGGACCTTCCCACTCTGAATGAAACACTCAAGTTTGGGAATCACAGTGGCGCTGCCGAGTGAACTTTGGAGGGACTGCTCTGTCAGAGCCCAGACTGTAAACCTCAAAGCTGTGACCTCAAGTCTGACTGTTGTTGAGTGGATGGTAATCCTGTAATCCTTTCTGATTTAGGAAAATGGAATCACTGAAGGCAGATTTTCCCCGGACAAGAATCATGTTCCAGCCGTCAGTCCTGGGTGAGAGTGTCCTTCAGCAGCTGAGAGAGTTCAGTAGACGGCACCTGTACCCAGCAGAGCAGGTATGGGATGTTAGCTCCTGCATGGTGAACCATTGACAAAACTCAGCTACCAAACCCTGAGACAAAAACAGAAGTTTCTGGAAAAGCTCAGCAGGTCTGGCAGCATCTGTGAAGGAAAGAAATCAGAGTTAACGTTTCGGGTCCGGTGACCTTTCCTCAGAACTCACAACAGAAGGGTCACACGATGCAAAACATTGACGTTGATTTTTTTTTTCTTCACAGATGCTGCCAGACCTGCTGAGCTTTTCCAGCAACTTCTGTTTTTGTTCCTGATTTACAGCATCCGCAGTTCTTTCGGCTTTTACCAAACCCTGAGGGTCCACTTGCATTATCAACGTCAGCCGCAGTTATCAGGGAATCCTTGAATGGTTACCTCCCAGGAGGCCATTTGGCCCATTGTATCTGGCTATCTCCCAGCAAAAGAAACGTTTCTTGTGCCACTCCTCTATCCCTTCACCTGCAGAGACTTTAACTTCAGATAATAACCTGATATCCTTTCAGAATTGAGTTATGCAGTCTGCTGCTGTATCTTAGGTCCTTGCCATTCAATCTGCCTCCCCTCCATTCTCAGGCAGTGCAATCCAGATCCTAAAGACCAGCTGGATTTAATCCTTGTTTTTTCTGCAATGCATCTTGTAGATAGTACACTCTGCTGCTACTGAGCGTTGGTGGTGGAGGGAGTGGATGCTTGTGGATTGATGCCAATCAATCAGGCTGCTTTGTCCTGGATGGTGTCAAGCTTCTTGAGTGTTTTTGGGGCTGCACTCATCCAGGCAAGTGCGGAGTATCCCATCACACTCCTGACTTGTGCCATATAGATGGTAGACAGGCTTTGGGGAGTCAGGAAGTGTGTTACTCGCCACAGTATTCCCAGCTTCTGACCTGCTCTTGTAGCCACTTTGTTTATGTAGTGAGTCCAGTTGTGTTTCTAGTCAATGGTAACCCCCAGGATGTTGATAATGGGGGATTCAGTGATGTCAACACCATTGAATGTCAAGGGACGGTGGTTAGATTGTCTCTTATTGTGATGGTCATAGCCTGGCATATGTGTGGCAAGAATATTACTTCCCACTGGTCAGACCAAGCCTCGATATTGTTCCAGATCTTGTTGCAGTTGAACCTGGACTGCTTCAGTATCTGAGGAGTCGCGAATGGTGCTGAACATTGTGCAATCATCGATGAACATCCTCACTTCTGACCTTATGATGGAGGGTAGGTTTTAAGCCTCTTGAGTGTTGTTGGAACTGTGCTCATCCAGGCAAGTGGGGAGTATTCCATCACACTCCTGACTTGGGCCCTATAGATGGTGGACAGGCTTTGAGGAGTCAGGAGGTGAGTTACTCACTGTAGTACTCCTAACCTGTGACCTGCTGTTGAAGCCACTGTGTTTATATGGTGAGCCCAGTTGAGTTTCTTGTCAATGTTGACCATCGGGATGTTGTCCTTGATAGTAACACCATTGAATGTCAAGGGGCAGTGGTTAGATTGTCTCTCATTGGAAGTGGTCATTGCCTGGTATTTGTAAGGCGTGAATGTTACTTTGCAGTTGTCAGTCCAAAGAGCTGCTTGTGCCTGCAAAGCCAGAGGCTGAGGACTCTTGATTTATGTGGTAACCAGCTGTGGACATCTTCCTACATGCACCGGCCTGTCGTCCGCTGATCCTCGTGTTTGGAAAGCCTCAGGTTTGAGGGAATGCAGCTGGAAACCTTTCCCATGTCCTGGACACACAACACGCCAGAGCTCCCACATTGCAGGCATCTTGTACCTTCTCTGTGGCAGATGTGGCTAACAGGGCAGGAGGCAGGGGCACATTGCCCATCTTTCTGCCTCAGGCAGAAGAGGGCAATTAATTCCCACTTAATGGCCTGTCCTGCCCCTGCCCCCCCTTGCTGGGACCTCCCCAGAGGCATGTGCAGGGGCTTAGCCTGGGGGTGGAATATTGAGAAAACCCGTGCTGGGTAGATCGAGGGCAGTTGGCAGGAGTGGGGTGATAGGGGAGGTAAGGGGGGGGGAATGGTGGGAAAAATGACCCTCGTTCAAAGGGCCCTGGAATGGGGAAGGGAGTTACCTGCTGAAAACCACAGCTCTGCCCTTCCAACAGCACCCTGTTCCCCTTTTACCCCTGCGACTCCCCATCCCGTCATCACTCCCCTTCGTCCTGGGGTACACCGAGAATTGGGCACAGCTATCCGCTCCCCCATCCCCTAAGCCCTGTCCTGCCCTGCCTTGCCACGAACAGCTGGCAGTCTATGACTGACCACACTACCTCCCAACGCTCCCCACCACATCCTCGGTGATCCTTCACCCCACTGGAACCCTCCTAGCATGTCCATTGCCCACGTGGTACCAAGCTTCCCTGATGGAGGTGGCATGGGGTGGGACTGGCAAGTCTTGCTGACCCTTCAGCTGCTGGTCTTGATCCCAGTGTCCCCACAAGTTGTTCTCTTTCTACACACACACACACACACACACCTGAGCACCATCTGTGAGACCTCCTCCAAAACCAGGGAGGTTATTTTTATCCAAGCTTTAACAACGTCCGAAGGAGCAATTTTTGCAGATTGTAGGTTAACTGTACCCAGTGGTGGAAACTTGACTCAGGTTAAACTCTGCCCTCTCCCGAACCTTCCACCTTCTGTTTGTTCTGAGGAAGAGTCACTGGACCCGAAACATTAACTCTGATTTCTTTTCTTCACAGATGCTGCCAGACCTGCTGAGCTTTTCCAGCAGATTCTGTTTTTGTACCTTCTATTTGTGATTGTTCCTTAAGACTCTGATCGAAATTCATGGCTGTTTTACGAAGCTCTCTGGGTCGAGTCTATTTTACAGTTGGTTTCTCTTGAGGAATGAATTAAAAGCTCAAGAAATCCTGTGTAGAATGTGTACAAGCTGCAAGTGGCCACAAGGTGGCAGTCAAAGCACATTCCCCCTCAGACCTTGTGGGTTCGGGATCCTCAGGACAGACAGTGCATTTGTTACACATCACTCACAGAGTCTTAGAAACATAGAAAATAGGAGCTGGAATAGGCCATTCAGCCCTTTGAGCCTGCTCTACCATTTGTTATGATCGTGGCTGATCATCCAACTCAGTCCCCTGTTCCCACTTTCTCCCCATATCCATCGATCCCTTTAGCACTAAGAACTATATTCATTTACTCCTTGAAAACATTCAGTGTTTTGGCCTCAACCGCTTTCTGTGGCAGAGAATTCCACAGGCTCGCCACTCTCTAGGTGAAGACGTTTCTCCGCGTCTCAGTTTTAAAAGACGTGCCCTGCGTTCTTACACCGTGACCCCTGGCTCTGGACCCCCCAGGCATCGGGAAAATCCATCCTGCATCTCCCCTGTCCAGTCCTTTTGGAATTTTATAGGTTTCTATGAGATCACCCTTCATTCTTCTAACCTCCTAATCGAGCCAGTCTGTCTTTATATGTCAGTTCTACCGTCCCAGGAATCTGTTTGCTGAATCTTCACTGCATAGCCTGCATTGCCAATGTTGCTAGGGCAACGTGCACTTTTTTACATGTTGTTGTCTAAAGTGATGGTGGAATCTCTGACATTTATAGAACGCAAAGCAGTACAGCACAGGACCAGGCCCTTCGGCCCACCATGTCTGTGCCAACTATGATGCCATTCTAAACTAACCCCATCAGCCTGCACATGGTCCATACCCTCTACATTCCTTCCATCACAATGGCAGACCCAGAATCTCTTTCATTTTTTGCCTCCTTGCTGTTAGAGTGTGTTAGAGGGAGTTGCAGATTGATAATTGATCGACAAGCTTGACACCATCTAGGACAATGCATTCCGCATGATTGGCGCCACATCTACAGACATCCACTCCCACCACCACCGACGCTCAGTAGCAGCAGTGTGTACTATCTACAAGATGCACTGCAGAAATTCACCAAAGATCTTCACACAGCACCTTCCAAACCCATGACCACTTCTGTCTAGAAGGACCAAGTCAGCCGATACATGGGAATACCACCCCCTGCAAGTTCCCTCTCCAAGTCACTCACCATCCTGACCTGGAAGTATATCGCCGTTCCTTCACAGTTGTGCATCAAAATCCTGGAATTCCCTTCCTCAGGGCATTGTGGTTCAACCCACAGCAAGTGCAATTGTTTAAGGAGGCAGCTCATCACCACCTTCTCAAGGGTAACCAGGGATGGACAATAAATGCTGGGCCCAGCCAATGATGCCCGCTTCCCATGATTGAATAAAAAAAATTTGCCTGTGTTATGATTAAATGGCCATCAAGCCCTGGGGTAAGATTTGAACTTGGCTCAGAGGCCACGGAATGCCCTAAACCTCACAACCTCCTCTGTCTCTAAAGTATCTTTTGTTCAAACCCATTCTCGCTTTCCAGCTCCTCCACTCTCCTCCCCACCCCGACCCCTGCCTCCCATTTCTCTCCTGTCACCAACCGTTGGCTTTTCCCAAGCCACTTCCTAAAACGTACATGTTCCCGATTGGCTTCCAGGCCTCTCCGCGGAAATTAAAAACATGTTTTCGAACTCATTGCTCCAAACTCCATTCCCAAGCGGCTAACTCTCCCCATCTTTTGGGGAACAGTCTGAGGCGAAGTCAGTTTGTTCACAACCTTGGAGTCTTTCCAATCTCTAAATTGTGCCATCATTACAACAATTGTAATGTCATCTGGCTACACACCTAACCCTGTTCATCCTATCCATGCGGGTGTTGCTCCTGACCCTAGCTATCCCAATGCAGTTCTGTCTGGTCTCACACTTTCTGTGCTCAGTACGCTGAGCTAATCCAAACATTTGCTCCCAGGCCTAAACCGCATTGAGTCCTGTTCCTGAACTGAGCAGCACGCTTAGCAACCGACATTGGATCCTGGGAAAAAAATGTTTGATTTTAAACTTTGGCTTTCAAGTCACCTGTTATCTCTGCCATCTCCAATTCAGGATGGGCAATGAATGCTGACCACGGGCAGCAAAGCCCACATCCCATATGAAGAATAAAGACTCTGCCACATGGTGTTTCTAGCAGTGCAGGACCCCTCAGTACCGGGGATGAGCCAAATGCTTTGGGCTGAAGTGAGACTTGAACCGGTAACCTCCTGACTCTCCCAGCCATTCCTGTGCGTTCCTGTGTGTTATGAAGCTTGGTGGGTACTCTGTGTCGTGGCTGGTCATTCTACATTCTGGTATTTCTATCATTCACACAGTGCTGTTTATTTTTATCCAGGACATCGCAACGTACTATGCTGCAAATGTGCAATCAATCCTCAGGTGGAAGAAACCTCCCATTATAGAGGCATTGAAGGTAAGTTTGAAGTGAATTTTTGCTCTTTATAATTGTCATTATGATCCCCATGGAGCAGGAAAGGTTTGTTACAATTGTGACATTTATAGAATTATTATGGTTTTGTTTTGTTTCATGGTGCCTGGGGACAATGGCTGAAGTTTCTGTACCTCTTGTTGTGTAGATTCAGTCTCCTGGGACGATCCAGTTGATGGTGTTACTGGACAAGTCAGATCCCTGAAAGCAAATCTAACTTGACAGACCATAAGTTTGTTTTGTGGTTGGTTACTGTGATGGTTAGTTACTGAAACACTGTCACACAAAGCTGCTTTAATCACAGAATTAGGGGGTTGATGGCAACGCCTCAGTGGTGTTATCGCTAGACTATTAATCCAAAAAGCCGGATAATGTTCTGGGGACCCAGGTTTGAATCCCACCATGGCAGATGGTGGAATTTGAATTCAATAAAAATCTGGAATTAAGAATGTAATGATGACCATGAATCGATTGTCGGAAAACTCATCTGGAAGGCCCTTTTGGGAAGGTAATTGCCATCTGGTCTACATGTGACTCCAGACCCACAGTAACATGATTGACTTTTAACTGCCCTCTGGATAATTAGGGATGGGCAATGAGTGCTGGCCTTGCCCTCATCCTGTGAATGCATTTAAAGTAAAAAGCTTACTACTCGGAAGGAGGAAAAACAAAGCTCTGTTAGAAACACAAATAGCAAACCAAAGTTTTAACCTGTTCCCCAACACTGTTGTTTACCTTGACACCAAAGTTTTACTTGGACTGACTCCTCCCAGTTTCTTTTCCTTGGACTATGGCTATGTTTTACAATTCCTTTCTGAGTTTGCTAGCATGAGATGTTCACAATTCCAGTCACCAAATTTTTCTGACATCTAATGACTTGTGATTTCTATCCAGTGTTTCCTGCTTTGGAAGTTACACACATCAAACCATTTCAGAGAGGTTGACTGGTCACCCTGAACTGAAAGCTTGGTTCTTCCTGTTGGGTGAAGCTAGATTATCCTGTAAGGAGAGCCCCTTCTGAGATGTAATCCTGGTTCTTCTGATCTGGGACTTTGAGCCGTATGTTCTGAAATCAAAACAAGCTCTTGGTCTGTGTAAACTCCTCAGTTTAAATACTTTTTATTCATTATCAATACAGAGGTTCTCCCAGGCACTTGGCTACAGTCATAGGATTTATGCAATTAAAAGTAGGGCCTTAGGTAGTATTATAGAGCAGAGAGACCTAGGGGTTCAGGTACATAATTCTTTGAAGTTTGTGTCACGAATAGACAGGTTAAGCAGGCATTTAGCGCGCTTGCTTTCATTGCTCAGACCTTTGAGTATAGGAGTTGGGACATCAGTAAGGCCTCTTCTGGAGTTTTATGTCCATTTCTGGTTGCCCTGGTATAGGAAGGAGATTATTAAGCTGAAGAGCATTCAGAAAAGATGTTGCCAGGAATACAGGGTCTAAGCTATAAGGAGAGACTGATAAGCTGGGACTTTTTTCACTGAAGCGTGGGAGGTTGAGGGGTGACTTTTTTGAGGCTTACAAAATCATGAGGGGTATAGATAAGGTGAATGGCAGGTGTCTTTTCCTTAGGGTGGGGGATTTCAAGACGAGGAAGCATATTTTTTAAGGTGTGAGGAGAAAGATTTAAAAAACATGAGGGGCAACTGTTTTACACAGAGAATGGTTCATGTGTGGACTGAACTTCCAGAGGAAGTAGTGGATGTAGGTACAGTTACAACGTTTAAAAGACATTAGGATAAGTGCATGAATAGGAAATGTTTGGAGGAACATGGACCAAGTGCAGGCAGGTGGGACTAGTTTAGTTTGGATTATGTTCGGCATGGACTGGTTGGACCGAAGGGTCTGTTTCTATGCTGTATGACTCTGTGGCTCAATGACATGCTTTCTTGGAATTGATGCACTTGAGAAACTGTTTCACATGACTTTCTGACCTGTCTTTTAAAAAAGAACATTCACAACAATGACCCGTATTTGTTTGCCTCTATTTTAATATCAAAATCTCAAAATATAATATGTATAACATACATCTTTCATCACACTTCCAAAGTTTCAGAAAGGTGTTACAATATATATGCTGTAAATTACCCCTTTACATTTTAAAGTGAAAGGCGTGTGTGTGTGTGTGTGTGTGTGTGTGTGTGTGTGTGTGTGT